CTCACAGGAGCATAATAATTTATAACACTCAGGAGCAATGGTGTAATATTCTAGATCACATATGATTTATAAATAGAGGAATTTTTTCCAAAAAAAAGGGGGGAAGCCATTTGGGCTCTAATAAATCAAGTGGGTCTGAGAGCCCGGGGACCACCCCCATTTTGCCCCACTAGAGGCAATCACTGTATCACTTCTTCTTCTCTCAGTCACATTTTTTCTCTCTCTTTTGGTCTCTATGTTCTATGCCTTGGGTGCGATTCACATGACAAATCTGAATTCAACATAATAGAATTTTAATCTAGCCTAAATGTTTCTCTTGTTTTTCTATTATTTATCTTTGCGCAGATTTTGGACATAATATTGTTCAGTCCCTAATTAAAATGGTTTTTTTTTTGTTTGCTTGTGCAATTATAAGGATAACTTTCTAATTTTTTATTGAATTATTAATATCATAAATTTGATTATTATTGTATCAATAATATTGACTGTTTTTTATCTGAGGATGTTGTCGGGATATACTTTCTAATTCTTTTTTTTTTAAATTCAATTATAATATTTTACAGTTTAAATAAATGTTATTACCATCCATAATGGGTGTTGCTAAGGGGCCATTTAAGATCACTTTTATTTTTTATTTTTTATTTTTATTTGATTTTGATTACATTTTGATTTGAAACAAAACTTGCTTTGCTATTTATCAAAATAAAAATATTTTTAAAAATATTAAAATCACTTAAAAGGACTTTTAAGTTTAAAAAATATATTAATTTTTTTAAAAACAAAAAAAAAAACATAAAAAACACAATAAATAAACATATCTTTAAAAATAAAAGAAAATAAAACAAACAAAAAAATTGATCCCAAAGAAACTCTAAGAAATGAGTAATATAACTTTTTTTTGTCATATTCTAAGATATATTTATATTTTTAAAATTATGCTTGCAATTTCAATGTTTTTTTTTGTAGATAGTATTGGGATATTTTCTTTGCCTTGTTAACTATCACATTCTACTGTACTACAACTCTTCTGAACTTTGAAATAATATTAGAATGGGCTTAAGTTTTATTAATATTATTTTGAAATTAAAATTATATTGCCAAAATACAATCACAATGACCTATATTTAATAAACTATGTCGTACCAAGACAGACAGTCATGTTCAACTCAATTTGCAGAGTAATGATCAAAGAGCTAGTAAATACGAGTTGTCTAGTGTCGACCACCTGACAAATGCTTTCCTTCATCTGTCAATCTCAAGGAGCTTATCCGATGATATGGCATATGCTATTCTATAAGATTGAATTAACCATACTAGAGAGGACCCAACTCTTTTCAAGCCAAACAAAGTGATAGGGTTGTTACCCTACGAGTATGTGGGGTGTAGAAGGTGAGATGTTGCATCATCCGAGGATAATGTGTCAAGGATAATATTAATTATATTCCCATGTTAGAAGGAGATAAAAGAGAATACCCAACGATTGCTTAGGGATTTACATGTAATAATAATACATGTACGTTATATAAGAAACTCTCTTTTCTAGAGGGGAGATATTTATGTAATAGGGAATGACAATTAGAACCCTTGAACAAAGTAACAAAATTTTTCCAAGTAAATAGAACAATCCACTCTTTTCAATGTGTTCTTTTCTCATTCCTCAGCTCTACCCTTGAGGTGTGAATCCATAGGCAAACTAGGATTTAAAAGTCCTTAAAGAAGTAGAGAGCATGGATCATGCCACAAATAAGAAGATAAACTATACAAGGAGCATAAGCATCAGAAGAGTGAGTAGCCCTGCTTAAGCTGTGACTTTGGTACGAGAAGAAGAGAACTCATCGTTAAATATAGTATGCCTTGTTGCCTACCCTAGAGGACAAGGATGACAATTTTTAACCTGAAAGCACAAGCTCGACCTCATCTGAGTATGAAAGAAGGAGAGTTGAGACCCTTAGACTATAAAAGTTAGAAAATGCCTTATTTAGAGAGAATACTAGAGCTAATATAACAGAATGCTTTAAGATTCCATTCTTGGAATTTTCCTTAGGAATTTCAAATCCATCAAACTACTTTGCATTTTTTGAGTTCACCATTTGCTTATTAAAGGTGAAGGCCACTTTAAAGTGTTGATTGTTCTTTGTGAATATGAAGGAATCAACATTGAGATGGTTCAACAGTTTGCCGCTAGAGTGATTACTGACCCGACCAGCAATTGCACAGATATTTATGCTCCTTAATATGCCAAAAACTTTACTCAAATTATATTTAGCGACTAGTGAGAACAAATGTATTATGATTAAAGAAATAGTTTTATCATTAGGGGTACTACACAAGTATATGTATTATTTCAAGTAATATAGAGTTTTCTTTAAAAATCGCAGTATCAATCCCACGAGGAAGCCGAAAACAAGTAAACAATAAAATGAAATACAGAAATTTTGACTTTAAGAAAACTATGCTTAAGATTGTAGCAACTATCTAAAGATGAAAATTAAGTCTAATAAATTTTATAATATGCAAGTAAAAGTAAATGTAATATCTTAGACAATATATAAAAAGAGACCTTCTCCATTCCAACAATTAATAATCAGTTTAGGATTTCAAAATTTGTTTAGAAACTAAAATGTGGTATTGTGGAAAAAAGGAGTATACCTATTTATTTACTTTCTTTCTAATCGTGCAAAGGGCATTGGCTAATTTAATTTTGGTGTTGGCATGTATAGTAGTGTTGGGTAGGTTCTAGTCTCTCACTTATAGATTATCCACTGGGCCCTCCTTATAGGACCTACCAGTGACCCTTAGTTTCAATCTCTAAATCAAATTGACAAAATAATCTAGTCTGTCACTAGAAACATCAATTCTACACCCAACAAATCTTATCTCCCTATCTATTTGCACCACCCTTTAGATTATCGTGACTGCTCTTTCCAAGGTAGATTGTGTACTTATAAGTCAAGAAATTTAGCCTTTCAGATATATAAGTTCCTCAACAGGTTTTAACAATACAAGTGACCAATTTGTAAAGGAAATGAAGGTCTGGTAAAAATATCATCACAATTTTAAGGAATAAAAGAAGTTCTAAATAAGATTAAAATCACTTACTTAATTACTTCATATTGCAAGGAGAAAGAAAAGAAAACTACTCACGAAACTACTCACGAACTACTCACGAAGCATGGGGATAAAAAAACAAAACTTATTTATAAAACTCCAATCCAAAGTACAAAACTTAAGGACAAAGATACAAATACTTATCTGGAATGTTTACCCAAGCACTCCTTTGAAGTTCTCTTACTTTTCTGACTCCAACAACACTTATAGGACTCACAAACTCTAGGAATAACAAAGACTCACAAAGAAAACTTATCACACCCATAACACGCTCACACAGTATGAGACTCTATAGATATGATCAGCTAGTCTCTTGGAATTAATCTATATTTATAGAGCATCAAAAATGACTAAGGGTTATTTCAGACGTCTCTCTAAAATTCGGTCTCATTCAATGAATTTTCTAAAAGATAACTGGGGCGCCTAGGCGCCCAACTGTCGCGCCTAGGCACCAACCAATTTCTGCATCCAGTGCTAGGTGCCAATTCGGTTGGTTTGGTATTTTTGTTCAATTTAGCCTGTTTTGCTCCTTTTCGATGTGTTATTACTCCTTTTTACTTTTAAACTCTTTTTCTTGCACCTGCAACCAAAAACATAAAATTACATTTCAATAAAGCATATTATCCTAAAAAAATTTAGCATAAAATGTACAAAAAAAAGGTAATTTTAAGGTGGATCAATTCCCCTAAACTTAAACGTTACTTATCCTCATTTAACCTTTCTTACTATACATATAAAAAAGTATAACTTATGGAAGTGTGTTTACTTGAAGATTTCTATAGTTTTTATTTTATAAATGAAATAGTGAAACTTTTTGAAAATTTTTTAATAACATAGATTAAAAGTAGAATGTAAAAATATTTAGTAGTCAACTTTAAGAATTATGATTTTATATTTATTTCAAGATAATAGTAATTTATAATATTAAAGATAATTAGAAAAATTACATGAAAAAGAATATCATGAGAACTTTGTTAGTAAAGAAGCTAATACTTCATAAATAAGTTTAGAAATGTAATTAAGTTTTTCTCCTTAATATGATTTAAGTGAAGCCAATTTTTTATTAGGCATCTTCTGAACCTTCTCCTCACATTTGTTTTCCTTTTTTGCTTTTCTTTTCTTTTTTTTCTTTTTTATTTTCTTTTTTTTTTTTCATGTAAGGATTACTTTATTTGAATAGCCTTTAATGATTTTGAACTCTACCATCCTCTTCTTAATATTAAAAACTTTTCACATTTCCTTGATTAAATGTGTATAAGACTTGAATTTTTTTTCTAATAAAGTCTCATATCTTTCTTTTTAAATAAAAATCCAAAATCTTTAACATTCCCAAAAATACAATCTTCTTTATTTTAAATAGTAAAAGCAAAATTTTATACTCTTATACTAAATATTTCAAATCCACAATTAATGTTATTATTAAAAACTTTTACTTAAGTTTACTAAATTATTTATAAACTAAAAAATATAATTATCTCAAGCTATCTCAACATACCATGGGTTATATTAAAATAATTTTTGAAAATATATTTTACTTAGGAAAAATAAGGTTTAGTTTTAAAAAAAAATTTCTTCCTTCCCCCAAACTTAAATTTAAATTAATTTAAGGCAATTAAGTTTATAATAATCATGAAGAAAGAGAAAAAATTAAAATTTCTAAGTAGGAGAGCAGTACAGGTACAATTAATAAAAACAAGTGCTGAGTAGCAGACATATTAAATTAAAAATAGATATATCATGAAAATTTGCAATGTAAAAGACTACTTTAACACACATCCAGTTCTAACAAAAGTAGCAGTGAAAATAAAAGTACAAAGCAACAAAACATACATGAACAATCCAACATGAGAAAGATTTAAAAATCATAAATACTCCAGAATAAAAAATAAAGTTTAATCCTCTTCCTCCTCGTCATCATCAGAATCAAAGGAAATATCTTCATCCATTGATCTCAGACCTTCAAAAAGTGTCAATCGAGGGCATGTACGAAATTCAAATGTATGGCCTCCCTTCATGAATTTAACCAATGCCTCATCATAATCAGCATCATAATCACTTTTCCTTCCAACAAAATAAACCTTATGATCAAATTTGTTGTCCATATCATCAATAAGACACGACATCAAGAACATATCATTCTGGTGTTCCAAATATCTTTCACTCAGCACATTTTAGAATCTAGATGGAGGCTTAGTAGCAGTCCAAGCAGAAGGTGCACCTTGAACTCTATCTATAGGTCGTCCATATACATCAACATTAGCCTTCCCAATTGGCTTAAGTGGCTTCAATTGCTCTTCTTAATTTTTAAACTTAACTCCAGAGTCTTTGCAAATAATAAATATAAAAGATGGAAATTCAAGGCCTGAAGTTGTACTAGCTCTCGTAGATGAACTAATAGCATCATAAATAAGAGCGCCTACATCTATAGGTTTCCTCTCTTGAATGTAGTAATTTAAAATAGTTCTTTATCTAGTCACTTCACTTAAATGATTCCAAGGAAGGAGGCGAGCAAAAATAAAATCATCCAATGCATTTGAAGTGGCATTGAGCTAAGAAGAAGAAAAATTTACCTTATGATCATTTTGAAATTTCCAGGCTCCATGACCATCTGTCAAATACGCCACGATCTAATCCAACTCAACCTCAGTTAGAATGAACTTTGAATGAAAACAATTAATCTCAGGTGGTTGACCATATATCTCATTAATCCCTACTCCTCTTCTTTGAACAAACACTTCGTCATCATCTGCTTCAAGAAAATTTGCATAAAATTCTCGAACCATAGCGATGACAGCAACAACAGTAAAGTAACACAAACTCTTCCATTGATGTACCACAATAACATTCTCTATAGCTCCACCAGGTCTAGAAAAACTTTGTTTCGCAATAAACTTTCTCAAAGAAGCAACTTTGTTGTAAGAAATTTACACATTTATATTGACAAATTTGGCACCATCATAGGATTCTTTTGCTCTTCTTCTCTTTGTCTCAGGAGCCATCTAAAATAAATTTGAAGAAAAATGCCACAAATTTCAAAATCAAGAAAATAGGCTTCCTGCAAGCTTTTTCAAGCTGACAAAGCATAGATCCATGGATATTTCCCCACTAAATCAAATATTTTTGCATATTTTCTTTCTCTACTCAATGTATGAAAAATCCATGGTAAATCGCAAATATAACTATGCCAAAACATATATATAACCTCAAGAAGATGAAATCTAGTGTTTTCAAGCCAAGAAACTTGAAGATTTGAGCACTATGAAGCACACTAAGACTGGTTTTTGCAAAAAAATAGGAAGAAGAAAGAGCTTGGGCATCAACAATGGCGTGGGTTCAGTTTAAATTATGAAAAATTTGATTTTCGGCCAGTTCAGATGAACGGGCGCCTAGGCGCCAAGCTGTGCAAGTTGTCTAGCACCTAGGCGCTAGATCCGATATTTTTCTTTCCTTCAGTTTTAAGTATAACACAACAAGACTTAGCCTTTTAAACCAAAAATTCTCATTAATTTAACATTACACCAGATGTTTATTAAGTCCCCGACATCTTCTATTTTCCAATTTTTTATTCAAAATTAATTCCAACATTATAACACAAGGGATACACATACATAACTTTCATTAAACTATCAAACAACAGTACAATATCACACACAAACAAAATTAAGCAAATAAACACAAGCAAACTAACACACAATCAACAACAGGGTAAAGTAGCACACATAACACATCCTTAACTAAAGTAAACACAAACATCAAACACAAACACTAGAAATCTATTCTAATGATCAATCTTTGTTGATCTCATTCTCGTCACCCCTCTCACATGCCAAATACTTGCAATCAAATGTGTAGAAGACAAGGGCATGAGAAAATTCTATAGCCCTCTTTTCATCAATCCATTTGTTCTCGCTATACATGGCTACCTGAGCAACTTAATAACTAGTCAAGTGGTCAGATTGAAGTTTCATCTGCCACTCAAAATGCTCGAACTGGTGATACATCTCATGCAACTTGTTATGTAGAATGGAAAGCTCCTCTTCAATCTTCCCAAACTTGCTCGTCACCTTCTCCAAACTCAGTACTAAGAATCCATTGAAATAAGTTTGGGCATCATTATGCACAAAATTATTTCCAACTCCATTCTCTTTATTCTCCATGGAAGCAAGTAATATCTCCAAACCATTCTAAACTCTCTTCTCTAGTTAAAATTTTGAGGGTATGAAGATTAGGGACGAAGGCTAGACTGTTTTATAGAGAAGACATGGAGAAAAACTGCTTTGGAGCAGATTTCCCGTGTCCATAAACTATGGCGGCTAGGCGTCAGTTTCTTAGTGAACACTGATTTACCTAACGACAAATTTCTTCAATTTTCAATCATGTTTAATACCTTAAATAGTGTTAAGAGAATGCTACTAAAGCAAAGGATAATCACAATATTAGAACAATAACAAACATAAATCAAATCACACCGATAACCATGGGTTGCCTCCCACGAAGCGCTTGGTTTAACGTCTTCAGCCCGGTGTTTCTCAAAGTTTTACTTGATTAGACCCAACATCGAAGTCTCTTTATAATAGAGCTTGTTTTATCCAATGTAAGGCTTCAACCTATGTCAATTCACTTTGGTTATATGTTCAGTTTTTGGATCTTTAATCTCCAAAAGCCCATAAGAATAAACTTTTTTCATAATAAATGGCCCCACTTGGGCTTAAGTTTTGAGGGAAATAATTTCAATTGTGTATTGTATAATAAAACTTCTTATCCAGGCTCAAAATTCATTCTTAAATCTTTTGCTCATACCAAATTTTCATCTTTTCTTTATAAATTTGAGCATTTTCATAAGATTCATTCCTAATTTTTTTGAACTCATTTAATTGCAATAATCATTTTCCTCCAGCATCCTTCAAATTATAATTAAATTTTTTTATCACCCAATAAGCTTTATGCTCTAACTTAACAAGTAAATGACAAGCTGTTTCAAATATGAGCCTATATGGAGACATTCCTATAGGAGTTTTATAAGTAGTCCTATAAGCCCATAATGCAAACCCATAATGCAAAGCCCATAATGCAAAATCAAGTCTATCAGACCAATCAGCTTTTTTAGGATTCACAGTTTTCTCCAAAATTCTTTTGATTTCACAATTTGATACTTCTGCTAATGTACTAGTCTGGGGGTGATAAGCTGTGGCAATCCAATGTTTAATTCCGTATTTTATAAGTAATGTGTCCATTATAAAATTCTTAAAATGACTTCCCCCCCATCAATAATGATCACTCTTGGCATTCCAAATATAGTAAAAATATATTTGTTTAGAAACTTTGAACACTTAGAGCATCACAATGAGGCAAAGCTATATCTTCAATTCATTTAGACACATAATCCACAAACAATAAGATATATATCTTTCCTGAATATGGTACAAGTGGTCCCATAAAATCCAAACCCCAAACATCAAAATTTTGAACTTCTAAAGTAAAATTTAGTGGCATTTCATCTCTTTTAGAAATATTTTCTATCCTCTGACATCAATCACAAGTTTTCACATAATTATTAACATCCTTATATAACGTCGACCATTAAAATCCAGAGTGTAAAATTTTAAATGCAATATTATCTATTCCAAAGTGTCCTCGAAATTCAGATTTATGACATTTTTTTATAATTTCTAGGGTATCATTAATTGGTACACATCTTTGAATGGTTGAATCACGACATTTCTTATATAAATATGAGTTATCCCAAAAGTAAAACCACACATCATACATAAATTTCTTTTTCTGTTGGCTTGTTAGTAAGTATGATAAAATATTACTAATTAAGTAGTTAACTATATCTGCATACCACCGTTCAGGCCAGTCAGCAGCAATATAGAGTTGTTCATTAGGAAAATTCTCATTTATGTTATCCTTATTATTTTTTTCTTTTCCTTGTTCAAGTCTTGACAGATGATCAACAATTTGATTATCAGATCTTTTTCTATCCACTATCTTAAAATCAAATTCTTGTAAGTGAAGGACCCATCTGGTTAATCTTGGTTTCGCATCCTTTTTCAAAATAAGATATTTAATAGCGAAATGATCAGTATGGACAATACATTTAGTTCAAAGTAAATATGATCTAAATTTATTAAAAGCATATACTATTACCAACAACTCTTTTTCAGTTGTTGTGTTATTTAATTTGAGCTTCATTAAGAATTTTGCTGGCATAATAGATAAATTTAAAAATCTTATCACACTTTTGTCCTAAAACAGCTCCAATAGCATAATCACTTGCATCACACATTAATTCAAACGACTTTTTCCAGTCAGATGAAACAATGACAATAAAAGTAATTAACTTTTCCTTTAATAGATTAAATGCTTTAAGAAAATCATTATTAAAATCAAACTTAATAACTTTTTCTAAAAGATGTCAAAGAGGCTTATCAATTCTAGAAAAACTTTTAATATTCCTCCTATAAAATCCAGCATGTCCTAGAAAACTTCTTGCAGCAGTTAATAAATTAGGAGATTGTAATTCAACAATGATTTGAATTTTTGCTTCAACCCATTCCATATCATTTTTAGAAATTTTATGTCCCAATACAATCCCTTATGTGACCATAAATTAACATTTTTTCCCAATTGATAACTAAATTAATTTCTTCACAACATTTTAGAACCTTTGCTAAATGATCTAAACTTGAATTAAAATAGGTTCAAAAAACTAAGAAATTATCCATAAACAATTCAATTCCTTTCTTAATTAAGTCACAAAAAATAGACATCATATAACTTTGAAAAGTTACAGGTGCATTACATAAACCAAAAATCATTCTTCTAAAAGCAAAAGCCTCATTTGAACTCATAAATGTAGTCTTCTCTTGATCCTCTAGAGCAACAGGTAATGGGTGTTAACCATAATATCCATCCAAAAAGCAAAAGTATTCATGTCCTACTAGTCTATCCAACATTTAGTCCAAGAAAGGTAAAGGAAAGTGATCTTTCATAGTGACAGTATTTAATTTTATATAATCAATAAAAATTCACCATCCAGTGACTTATCTTGTTAGAATTAATTTGTTCTTTTCATTTACAACTATAGTCACTCCTCCTTTCTTTGGAACACAATGAATAAGACTAACCCATGCAC